TTGAGCTATTGTGAATACGCTCAATAAAGCTTGCCTTATCTGACTTTTTGTTTACCTTACAGTTTCCTATAGTCCACTGCGCTTTATATGAAAAAAAAAACTGGAAAATAAGCCATTCTTTGACAGTGCACCCTATATGGCGGAATAAACGATAACCTCCCTGTGTTGATCCAGGCATGTAGAGCGGCCGATTTTAGATGCCTCAGTTACCGAGAGGCAAATTGTTTCATCCATCATGTCCTATGGACAGGCAGCTTTAGCAGGTAAGCTGGAGAGATTGAGATTTCTGGCCTTCGAAACTCCTGAGTAAAGTAAAAACAGAACCTTTTTGTCAGTCAGTAAGAACAAACGGTAACAATACATTTTATCTACCGCGTTAAGTACTCATTGCTCCAGAATTCTACCTTTTCGTATAGTTTTGTTTTTGTTTTAATATTGTTTTTAAGTTTAATTTAAGTTTTAGTGTAGTTTATTTTCTAGTTTAATTATTTTTAATAGATTTAGTTTAGTATAGTTTGTTTAATTTAGGATATAGCAGTTATTTAAGCATTTTTATTTAACTTTGGCGGTATTTAACTAAACTGAACCGAATTTAAAGTAAAATTTAACTAATAATCTAAAAACTGAACTAAAACAACAGTAAAACCGAAAAAAATAAAAATAACCACAATGCTATGGGCTAGGTGTATCTAAGATGGTAGAGCAACTCCACTGTTACCGAAAAAAACTCTTGAGGACCTCAAGCATTTATGTCGCTGTTGCTGCTTCTGTTACAAGGTATAGACCGAAGGACACATATACAAATTGTGTGGTGAGAGGGAATTTTTTACGATTTGTGTCCCCACTGCGGGCGGCACTGTAGATGAGTTAAACCAAAATGGGCACCACACTTGTTTCGCACGCGTTAACTGGACTGCTCTGAACCCAGGCGCACCAAAAACTGATGCCGTAAACGCCCCCTTTGGCGGGTCTTGGAAGAAGACTGACACTGGGAAATCTATCGCCAGGGCAAATCTGCCGGGGTCACCATTTTCGCAGTGGCTTATATACAGTAGGCGCCAGAATTCGTGCAACATGCCGACATACGCGATTGATATTCTTTCGCTAATCGGCATTGACTCAGGTTGTGATATTGATTTTCGTGTAGTCTATTCTGAAGTTATTGCAGTCATGATAGGCTGCGAGCTTTTAACGAGCTTCATTCTGAGCACCAAAAAATGTATGTGCTGTAAAAAGTAAGTATTTAAATAGAATGTGTTTTTATAATTGATTTTGACTGCCTTTATAGATTCAAATATATGCTTTAGAAAAAATTCATAAAAGGTATTCTTTCCTGTACTCGTTTGGCAGCAAATTATGTCTTCTTTAAATTTTATAGTTAAATGAAGGGTACCTTTCGGTTTTAGAAAATTTCTAATTGTTAGTTTTTTACGATTGTGAGGTATTCATTCACAATACATCGTACCCGCCAATTTATTAATGCTGCCCATAATGTATAAAACATGCTCCACATATATCGCAACATGTTATGAGAAGTATGTGACTTCTTCCTCAAATTGTAGGCGAAAACTTACTTTTCCTTAAACAA